TTTTCCGACCTTAATGATTCTGTGATTCTGTGAATCTAATTTAGTGTGGCTTTCTCTGGTCTGTCAAGGAGGGGAGCAATTCCTCAGAGTCCTTAGTTCTTCATCCTGTATCATGTGTTACCCTGTATTGGGTCACTAACTTTCTTCCGGATGCAGCATTGTGGTAGTAGCAGTACCTGGAATTCCTCCTGTCTTTTTGCACTGCTTTTGGAGCTTGGGCTTCTAAAACAGTTTTTCTTTTTAGTTTTTATTTGTAGTATTTAATTTTTATTTCTGAGGCTTGTAAAACAGCTTTTTCTTGCAATTCCATCTTAAATGCATTTTTAACAGTTCATCTGGTAGTCTTTAACTAGAGCATGTTTGAACAAATGTGTGTTTCTTGCTATTTGCAGCTTCTCTTTGATTTCCTTGCATTCAAAAATGACATCAGTTTTTGGAAGAAAAAGAGGAGCATGATTGGGATGTCTACAAAAGCAGGTATGGGCCAGAATGCAAAGTGTTGCGTGTGCATTATCTAATATATACTGTGTGTTTTTAGTCTTACTCTAAGTTGAAACTTTGTAGATTCATCAAGATGGCAAAATGAGATGTCTTTGTGTATGAAAAGAAGATGGCTAACAGGCTGGTTCTAACTTTGTTAGCATTGTGCTCAAGTATCACTTGCTTTTAAGCACTCGTGTCCCTTCTGAGGTTTGACTGTCTTACAATTGAAAATAAGTTTAATACTAAGTCAGTCACCAGATTTCCTTTGCTGAAGGAATAGAAAAATACTTTGAGAAAAGAATGAGGACCAGAAAAAATCCCGTGGGTGGAGAGAATGTGCTATCATGGGTAATGCTGTCCTGCGAATCCTATGTGTTCCTTGTAGATAACTACAGGTTCCAAAATATTTGGGAGGGAAAATGCTGTAGTGTAACGCTGCTGTTTGATTTGGGCTTTGGTGTGGACGCTTGAGGTTTAACACACCATTCCCCAGCCTTGTTTATTGTGCTAGTACTTAGTGCTTGTTCTTCTAATAGGTTTTTCTATTCTGATTATAAACCAAACTGATAAACCTGGAGTCATTTGACCTCTGAGACTACCCTTAATTTTATCATACGTACAGATTGATTAAAACATGTGACGAATATCAATACCAGGAAAAAAATTAGGCATTCTAAATGATGATGAACAGCAACATGTTTTTCTCACGTGGAAAATCTGTTTATTGTCTTTATCAGAGCGCCTCTGTTTTTGTAAGGCATTTATACTGCTGTTGGCATATATACGCCAAAAAGTTAATAAAAATTCAAAATGGTCCATGACATTTCAGAATTAAATGCTAATTGCCAGTTTAAAAAGTGAGTAAAGTCAAATTGGAAAGAGTAACAAAGGGTTTTTTAAACTTACTGTCAAAATATCAATCTTTAGCAAGCCTTAGTCACCTTTCTGCCTGTGTCTCCTTCTTGCCCTGAGGCTATTGCTCTGGAATGGTACAGTGTAATTGCTAATGTCTGTGTGTGTTGTAGCTCTTCTCTCTTCCTGTTCCTGCTTAGGGGGATGGATATCTGAATCTAAGAATTAGTTGGTAGACACTTTATAAGCATCCAGGGTTTTGCAAAACCTGAAAAATAACCCTAAAATATACTTCTTAACATTCACAAACATAAAATTAGTTGCATGAGTTTCAAAGACTGGCATTACATTACCTCACAGCCTTTCAGCTTCCTCGAGACAAGAATCATGAACATAGTTCGTAATAGTACTGATACATTGCTGAATTGGTGCAGTACAGAAGTCTTCCTTAAATATTCTGATTTCCTTTCAGCTTTTGTGATAAGGATTTCATAAAATGTTTTTGTTCCTTATTTGCCTGGAGGAATCACTGGCTGTTTCTAGGACTACTTGATATATCAAGATGTATATAGGAGAAGTTCATGCTTAAACTGCGTAAGCAGAATTATGGTAAATAGGCCAACAGTCTTCTGTCATCTCAGCTGTTCATTTAAATATTAATAAGCCTTTTGTTTTTGTTTTTTCTATCTAGTGCTTTGGCGGTGCTTTAGTACTGTGGTAATATTTCTTTTCCTTTTGGATGAACAAACAAGTTTATTGGTACTGATCCCAGCAGGCATTGGTGCACTGATTGAGGTGAGTTCTTAAAGCTCTAGAACCAAATACCAGTATTTGCAGCAACATCCATAGTTTATTGTAGGAAAAAAATGCTAAACTAGTTGCTGGAAAAATACTGCTGTTGTAGTATGCTGTCTTAGCAGCATTGTTTAACTGGCTTTCAGTGGTAGAGGAGATTGTGTACCTTTATCAAATAACTAAACTGGAAGAATCAGTTTTTTCTGGGATGGGCCAGCTGGTATTGGGGAAACCAAACATAGAGCTATGCCGAGGTTCCTTCCTATCACATCGTCTGATAGGCATCACTCCTGACCAGGCATGTATAACCATGTCAACAAGCCTTCACAGAAGCATTTGTCAAAGAGCAGGCTGTGTGCCATCAGACAGTGCCGCAGGTCTGCAGCTTTTTCCCTGGCCATGACTGAGGTGCCTGGGGAAGGAGGAGACTGCTGGCTGTGTTCATTATTCCAGCAGATCGTGTCCAGTCAGTGGGTTGCTGGGAAGAGCTTTTTCATGACTTGTTCTTAACACCTGTTTCTCATGCAGTATGAATAGTGACATTGCTTCTGTAATAAGTAATTTTCTCGCTTGCATCAAAGATGACAGTAAAGGATCGTCTTTACCATATTGCACTTTTTTGTTTGGAAGATATGATGGGTGAGAAGAGAATATTGGTGTATCTAAAGTTAAACAAACAAACCTTGTCCACAAAAAGCTTCATGGAGCGTAGCTCTCCTGGTGAGCTTACTGCATTGCCTAAGTTTTTGAATCTGTATAGCAGGGTGGGTACATGAGTAAATTTTCAGGTGCCCTGAACCTTTGGTTACATTAGGGCCAGCCTGTTGCAGCTGTACAGTAAGTAGCCAAACAATGCAGTGGATTCACTGACTTTTGCTTGTAGTCCACTACTGAAATGTAATGACCATGTAAGTGCCCACTTAATTACTGTTAGGAGTTCTGAGGCACCTTCATCTCGCAGATCCCAGCTGACCTTGAAGGCATGTAGAAACTTGCTTGGCAGGTGGTTACTGGAGAATTCTCTAAATGCTTGACCTGGGGTGCATGCTGGTGCTGAGAGCAGCTAACCCCCACCTGAGCGCTGCAATCCAGATATCCTGGAAGGACTACATTATTTCACTTAAAGTACATCATCTGATATGGAGACTTAATAGTGCGTGCTCCCAGTGTTGTACTTGTCCGGTGAGACAGCATTTGGTTTGTATAGAGTCGCAGGCAGTGTGCCGCAATCATGCTGTTGCTGCTTTATACAATGGGTGCTTAAAATAGATATTCTGGGGTCTTGATTCTGAATATCTGAATCATGCATAAGATGTTCTTTTCGATAATTCTTTATGTGCACATTTTGATTTTGCTAATCACAGCTCTGGAAAGTGAAGAAAGCTTTGAAAATGACAATCAAGTGGCAAGGCTTGAGACCCAAAATTCAGGTATAGTAGACATTGGCCTGTTAATGATTACACTCTTGAGCTTTCCATCTGTTTCCAGGTTACTGTTCAACTTGGCTTTCAGTGAAATGAAGATTGAAAAAAACTATAAAAGTTTCCTGTGTATATTTTCTCTTTATGGATGGCTTAATCCAAAAGCTGGATGAGCATTTTCAAACTTACGAATTTCTTTGATGAATTCTGTAGAAGAAAAAGCCATTTGTGTGTATTTATGGTGTGAGAAACTTCAGAACTCCTCTGTCAGTCCTGCTAAATCTTAACAGGTGGGACTGTGCTCCTGCCACTCTGTTGGAAAGGCACTCTTAACTGGCATTAGGTTTGAAGAAAGAAACTGAATTTTGCATGAAGGTGTAGTATAACTTCTCCATTGTCAAACTAGTAGAAGATGTGACATGTTCTGGGGACAGGACAGTCTTTGACAAATCCTCTGGGTAAAAATTTAAGTCCTGAGACTGCTTGCAGGACATGCAGAGGCAGCTGGGATTCAAATTAACACTTTTCAAAGTACAATCTACATTGAAAGTTTCCCTTGTTGGTAGGAGAAACGGTTGTCTAATCTTCAGTGTTTACTTCACAAGAAGTACTGGGGTTTTGTGCTGCTTGAAGTCTGTGCATCTTGAGTGGCTCATAGCTCTGGTTGTTCCTTTGTCAGTATTCAAGGAACTGTGTTTAAGCAGTCACAATTTCTGGAGATGTGGAGATAATCCATGAGTGACCTCTTCATGCATGAAAATGGTTATGGTTTTTAATAATGGCTTTCTGTATCTGCAAAATTCTTAGCCACTGGACTTTACTTTTGCTTTGTGAACTCTGCTGTCTCAACAGCATTTTCCTAAGCAAAGAAGTCCTGGATGTTTGGTGTAAAATATGAAGGGAAAAATTAAACTTTTTGCCTAGCCTGTATTTGCAGACCGCACAGGACATTTATATGACTCTTTTGTATAGAAACTTACAAGAACTTTGAACTGTTACCTAGCTTAATGTCTAAGCAGTTTAGTTTGCAGTTTAAATCTCTGTTTAGGGAGTTGGACAGCAAGTGTTTTTTCCTCCCAGTTCTGACTTGATTATACATTTTATATGTATTGCAGTTTGGTACATACAATGACTCTGAAAAGAAAACTGAGGAGTATGATACCCAGGTAAGAGGGAAGCCTGTGACTTCTGATCTGTAAAGTCTATATATGTGGCCTGCTGATTGACTTGTTTCACTCTTTATTGCAAGAAGTGCATTTTCCATTTTCTCACAGTTGTCAAGTGGATCATCATTATGTGGATGATCAGATAGCGAAGATTCATTCTAATAATTTATTAAAAGAAACAGTGAAAGAGTTGTTTGTTAGCTGAATCTGGTTGAAACAGTTCTCTGAGAAGCAGAATTGCAAGTGACTTATCTGAAGAGAAATACCTTAAAGGGTCTTCATTCACAAATTTGAAAGTCTATGTTTGCACTTGTTATTTATACTGGAGGAATGTTCATGTGCTTCCTGACTTCTGAAAGGAGTTGAAAAAATCAGGAAGTTAAGCAGAGAGCTACTCTTAGACTCTGATCTTCATGCTGCCTCTTGTTGCTTATGCTCTAAGGTCCTTGGTGGTCTGAACGGAGCTTTGAAATTTTCACCACCTTCTCTAAAACTGGAAGCATTCTGAAAATAGTAGTAGACATTTGGAAATAGGAAAAGATTTTCAGGAAAAAAATCATGTGGCTGTCTTCTAGTTAATGCCATGTCAAATCTGCTGTATATAAAATGTAAGCTAACAAACTATTTCCATTGTCTATTAGGCTATGAAATACTTGTCATATTTGCTGTATCCACTGTGTATTGGAGGTGCAGGTTACTCCTTGCTGAATGTCAAATACAAAAGGTACTGTAAATCTATAAACCATCTTATACAGAATTGAAACATTCCCCATTTTTCCCATATTAATAAATTGGAGATGATGGGTTATGGAAATCAGTTATTTTATTTTGTTTGATTCATAAGCTAGGAACCAGAAACTTCCTTGTTCTGTATGATCTAAAGCTGAAAAGTCTAACTGTTTTTTTAACATCCTGTAAGCTACAGGCTGTTACATTTAGCAAGTAACCTGATATTACTGTAGCATAGAATTCATTAGCTTACATACACGAGTAAGCTATGAATCAGAAGAGGAGGAAGAAAGCTGCCATTGATGTTCAGAGGACTGATAAGGTGACAGAAGAGGTGAGAGGAATTCAGTGGTTAAACCTGTCCCAATAATAGAGAGAAGCAAAAACTGTCCCAAAATTATTTGCTCTACCAAGAGGTTCCTCTGTTCCTAAATATGATAGCTAGGATGGCAAGCAGGCAAAAGCATTTTTAAGAAAGGACTCTATATTCCTTTAAAGCCGTGGTCTTGTAGCAACATATTGATACTTCAGCAAGAGCTGAAGACTCACTATTTCACTCAAAATAATACAGCTAGTTCATTTTGTACTGGAGAGGTGCAAGCAAGTATGCAGCCATGAGACTGTAGAAAAAATAGAAAGAAAAATCTGCAAACGCAAGCGTAGTGATGGCCATGAAGACATGTTTTTTAAGTCTTTAGGCCCCGAAGGGGTGGGGGGGAGAGCAAGCAGTAGCTTAAAATAACATCAGAAAGAGCTACTGTTTCTGCATATGTGGGCCATAGCACTTGTACTAGAAACTGGGGCAATTTCAGGGCTATTAGAAAAATATTTTTTTCAAAAGATTCTTGCCTTATTAAGGAGCTAACAAATATGCAGCCTTTAAAAATTCTGCTTTTCTCACAAAATTCTTAAATTCATTCAATGCTGCAAAATATTATGTGCCAGGTGTTCTGTGAGCTGTAGCTTAAGAAAGTGAAAACAATTGTTACCATAGAATTTTTATCATTGTTAAATCTATTTGTAAGGAAATGTGATGGAACAAGTAATCTTAATGGAGGATTATCCTTTAATCTTGCAGGCATTTTCTGATGCATTTTTTAGATGCTTGTGGATTACTGAAATGCTGCTACAGCTGTAACACTGCTATTAACAAGTCGCTAACACAGCCTTGCAAGTTTAATTTTAAATGATGTAACTTGAGCATCACAATTACTAGCTGTTCTTACTATTGCAAGCAGAAGTGTGGAATTTGACCACTATCTGTAACACTGCTGTTATGTTGCTAAGATTGTGCTCCATTGAACATCTGGGAGGGTTTTTAGATGTAAGGAGGGAAAAACGTAGGTTCCTTGTATTTACCTTTTTTTTTTTTTAAGTGCCTACTATAGTGGTTTGCACTGAATGGTATGTGTTGTTTGAAATTTGGTAAGTCCTTACAGTGCCATATTGAGCGTCTCTTTAGAATACAGTGTTACCTTTGCGAGTCTTAATGCAGTCAGGGTTCAGTGCACAGTATTATCTGATGTCATTTTGGGTGCAGAAGTCTTAGAACATTCTGAAAAAGTATAAAAGCAGTTGATAAAGCTCTCCAGATCTGTTGGATGCACTGATAAACATCCTTTGCTTAAACTGTTAGCACCTCCTCTGGAGCCCTTCCTAATCAAAGGAAGATGTGAGGTATTTAGTTCTTGAGTAAAGTAATTCACAACATAGCCATTTCTTGGGGTAGACAGCATACAGTCATGTAAAGGATGTATTACAGGTATATATTTTTGGCTGAGGTGAAAAAATAACTGGACTGTCTTCTTTCTTTGTAGCTGGTACTCCTGGTTGATTAACAGCTTTGTCAATGGTGAGTCTCTTCATATTTCTTCAAATGGGAGCCAAGACTCAAAAGTAGAAAATTAACTGCTGTCAGCTGGATCAGTGTATCAAGCAATAACTTGACTGTAGGTTCCAAAATCATCACAGTGATTGAGAAAGGGAGAAGAATCAACCCAAACTGAAACAGAAAGATTAGATGCATCTTCTCTCTTTAGGAAAATGAGTGTAAATCTCTTAATTGTGAAAGTATAGTTGTGTGGTGTACTTCTATTGTGCATTTGTCTGTAAGTTTTCCATCTTTTATCTTCAGGAGTGTATGCTTTTGGATTCCTGTTTATGCTGCCCCAGCTGTTTGTAAACTACAAGGTAAAATTGAAAAGTGATGAAAGACTACTTTTTTAGTCTCTTCTTCCAGAATTTATTACAAATTGATATTTTTAATCCTAGATGAAATCTGTTGCACACTTACCGTGGAAGGCTTTCACATACAAAGTAAGTAAAGCTCTAATTTAAAGATTGGTGCAGTCATTTTGGAAAAAATTTTCTGTGAGAAACAGCTTAGTATTATGTAGCTTAAGGCTGCAAGTGCTTTGTTTGTTTGGTTTAAGAACTAAACTGACAGTAAAACCAAATCTGTTTGCAAATGTCTTAAAAAAAAAAAAAACCACAGAATAAAACAAACCATTGATTTCCATTTTTCATAATGACTTCCATAAAATGAGAATACCTGCATCCTAGTTTTGATGATAATATTGTTTTTTCTACTGTCAGCTGTCTTGCATGGGTGCAAATGTTGGTCATGCAAATAAACTAATCAGTCTCAATTTAATACATTATTTTAGGAAGAGAGAGATTATATTAACAAAGGATAGTTCTCAAGAAACAGATAGGACCACTGAGAGACCTTATTTTGGCAGGTTCCAGGAACTACTAGACACAGTTCTGTGCTGGGGTGGTAATTCTGAGCTTCTGGGCAGTGTAGTGACAAACGTGTGGTGGGTTGTTACACAGTGGAAAAGGGGCTGCACTGTGGTGTCCCCACTGCCTAGACTGCCCTTGTAGGAAATAATGTGACGCTGTAGCAGAGCTTAACACCAGACCTTGGAGGAGGGGAAGGTGAGTTTATTTCAAAACAAAGTCAACTTACTAACACTTTGATACCTGCATACCCACAAGCACCCATATGTGTGTCTGAGTGGTTTGTGTAGTATTCAGGCACCAAGATGGATGTACCCAAGTATCCCAGTCAGGATTCCTTGCGCTGATACGGAGGACAAGGGACACCCACTGTTGAATCCCTATGTCTCCTACGTTCTCCTCAGTCAGTCAGTTCTCCTCTCCTCAGTCAACAGCTACATGCTAGTTTTTCTCTTGTACCCCTAAAGAGCTGATAGTATTTTGACTCCATCCTTTCCCACCTCTGTGAGTCATTAGGATTTTTGTACTGTCATTTGTTTTCCTGATCATTGTGTCCTGAGAAACCCTAGAGGGGTGTGCTGGGATCATCAAGACCTTGATGCCATCAACATGTGCCATGTTTTATTCTGCTTCCACTATACATACTTTCATTTATTCTTCCTTTGTGCCAATGTATTACAATTCTCCAGAACATCAGTACTTTAAAAGAAACGCTGTTAAAAACTGCTCAAAACATGGTGTCCAATTCTGAACAGATGATCTGGGACAAAAGAACTAAAATCTTAAAATTTGAAGTGCCTTTCATAGCTTTTCCATTTCTGTGAGCCTACAGCAATAGCCCAACTTTCTGCTGCCTTAATATTTCGAAGGAATCATGGCACATCTAGGAAAACAGACTGAAATATAGCTGATAGCAGAATAGCAACTCAACAGTGTTTGATACAGAAATATAGTCAAAAAATAAAAATAAACATCCAGCGTTTCAGACATATACTAGGAAAATCAGCATGTTTCATAATAGAGGGGAGTAAAAGGTATATTAGTGAAGTAATTTCACAATTTTACTTCAGCAACAAAATACAATAACTGAGCAGAGACATCAGCAGTTGACAACAAAGGGACAGTATTCAAGCAAGTAACCTTTAAAGCAGTAGAATTATCTTGCTGAACAGCCTTTTCTTACAGAGCATTTCTGGTTCCTGTTAAAACGCCAGGGCTACCCACAACAAAGGCTTGTGTGTATGTAGAAAGAAGTATATGATGTTTTCAATTACGTTTAACTTACTGGTCTTTGGAGGTGGTAATTTACTTTTTTCTAGCGGATATTTAACGTTGCTTGCTCTCTTCTGCACTTCGAAGAGTGCAAAGAATAGTCTGAGGTCTCATCTGTGATTGTTTTAGAGAGCTTTGGTTTTGTCCTTGATTTGAACTCTTCCCTGTTTTGGAACACCTTTGCAAAAATGAAGATCAGTCTAACTTTCCAGTTTCTGTAGTCTTTATGTTTATGCTTTTTATACTTTAATGAGGAGTACCTTCAAATGAGGTAATCTCAAAAGCAAACTAGCTAGACTACATACTGTTAGATGGGCTGCCTTGATGCATTCAATTTCAATGGCTTATGAAGACTGCCTAAGTGCCTGAAGGATGGAGCATTTAGCTTTTCCTTCCTTTCATCATTGTAGGATCGCTTACTTGGGTGTCGGCTTGGAAAGGCTGCCTTTTCCAACTTGCCAAGTTTTTTTGTTCCATGACAAACCTTCTTTGCACAGGCTTGAGAAGTGCCGTCTGTATTCTTTGATCACTTCAGATTCATGGATTTGTTTTGACTTGCCAGAAAGAGCTTTCCTGTTGTAATTAATCAGAACTCTCTCCTGTCTTATACCCCCATCTTCTGCTGATGCTTTGCTTCCTCATATAAACATTGGTTCATTTTGAAGCGTGAGTCCTTCTCTGTTTAGACAATACATCGTTTTCCCCCTTCTTATGGTACGGATTAATGTACAACTTGCTAATACTGAAAGGAGAAGCCATGTTACTGACTCAGTTTGTTAACCCAGCAGTGAATATTCTTTGCTGGATTTGTTTCCTGATGGTTTTAATGAGTTGAAACAGTTTATTGCACCGTATGATGAGTACTAGAGCTGGTGCACTGTAAGAGTTGATTTCTAGTCCTCCCTGTAGGCTAGAGCCAGATCCACAGGAGTTGCCCTTCTATTTACTTTCTTTATCTTCTCTGACAAAATATTGTTGTCTTTGCATGCTCGGAGCCTGTTTGCATTGCTTTCCCAGCAGATGTCTGGAAATTTAAACTTTCTTACTCAGAAAGAAGTAGTGAGAAAGTATTTCATTATTGCTTCAGAAATGGAACCTATCATATGCCTAGTTGAGTGGAAATGGTGTAGAAAATTACGTCTCGGATAAGGAATGGATGATTACTTCCAGGAGAGCACTGAAAATATTTTAATCTCTCCAAGGCTGTCAAGTTAATGTTCTTAAGAGCAGTAAATTAACAAGTTTTTACACAAATTTCAAATGCCCACAGAAAATGAAAGTGAACTGACATTTTGTAAATCTTAAATCATTCGAGTAATGAATGAATAAAAGTTTTTTGCCAGTTTCTTTTAAAGATTTCACTGAAGTTGAATCCATGTTTTTCCCCTCGCGTGACAATACTCTCACTTACCTGAAGTAGTCCTACTTCCTTTTTACTTGTAACTATAATTCTGTGGTCTGGAGTAGACAGCGTGGTCTTCATTAAAAGAAAGCACTTTAAAGTTGCATTAATTAGTTTTTCAGCATAACCCGTAAGTATTGTTATAAATATGGAAGTAGTCTGTGTTCCTACCGAAAAATACAGTACTAGGAAGCCTGTTTCGTGTAGCTTTGTATGACAGATGACTTCCTTTCCTCACAGCTGACTGAAGTATACTTTTCTTATATTTGTAGGCATTCAACACCTTTATTGATGATATATTTGCTTTTATCATCACTATGCCAACATCTCATAGGCTGGCGTGCTTTAGAGATGATGTCGTGTTCCTGGTCTATCTTTACCAAAGATGGTATGCCTTTAACATTCATCAGAGTTTTTACAACGCTGTAGATGGTTGCAGTCTAATTGCTGTAAAGAACTATGAAATAGTTTGGGATAGACTTCAAGTGGAATTTTTATACCATAGTAATATATAGTATGGTCTGGATAATGGTAGTTGTCTCTATGCCTAGTGAAGGGAATAGAATCATAGAATCATTAAGGTTGGAAAAGACCTCTAAGATCATCAAGTCCAACCATCAACCCAACACCACCATGCCCACTAAACCATGTCCCTAAGCTCCTCATCTACACGTCTTTTAAATACTTCCAGGGATGGTGACTCCACCACTTCCCTGGGCAGCCTGTTCCAAGGCCTGACCACTCTTTCAGTAAAGAACTTTTTCCTAATGTCCAGTCTAAACCGAATATGAATGTGAATATTGAGCAGGGGATCCTGAAAAGGAGATCTAAATACAAATCAGAGGAGCAAAAGCACTTTCCCATAACTGATGGTATTCCTGGACCCTTTTTAGCATGCTAAGAGAGTAGTCAAGAAATTCCTCTTCTCACAGCACTCTCAGAATTTTTGTCAATTACCCCTTCTCCCTCCCCAAAACAGCAGTCCTCCTTTTCAGCAGATAGTTTCACATTTGCAAGTTACAAAAAAATTAACCTGAAACATGAATACCTGAAGTAAGGTGAAGGAGAGCAATTCTTAAGCTTGTATTCACAAACCCTCTTAGGAGTTCTGGGCTTCTAACCCTTGCTGAGGGGCTACATGCCTACATATGCTCAGTATCTGAGGCGTGCTTTCCAAGTTGCTCTGCAAGGCACTAGCAAAGGATGTTTTCTGATGAGAGATTGTCCTGCTCTGCTTTCCTCTTTATCTAGTTTCCAAACACAAGTTATGAGGTTCTCTGGTAAGTTGAGTATCCGGCAAGTTTCAGATTCTTTAAGTAACTAAAATCAGATGGGGAAGAAGGCTATATGCAGTAATCATTGAAATATTGTTCATAAGTGAAGCTACAGAAAGTGTGTTCTTGTTCCGAAGAATAAATATTTAGATGTGGAACAAACAAGAATTTTAAGCCTAGTTCACATTATACCAGAATATATGGATGTGTATGTTTAATCATTAATACTAAATGTGAACTTCAGTTTTCGGTTTATATAATCGCACGAAAGTGTAGTAAAATAGGTGGCCTTCCAAGGTATTTTTGTAGAAGTTAAGAGCTCAACAACTTCTGACAGGTTTCCAGTTTGAGAGGTATCCTGGATTGCTTGAGAAATACTCCAGCCAAGCTTTAGGGGAACTAATACATCTCTTAAGAGGCCTGTTACGAGACAACTGGTTAAGTCTTAATGTGAAGAAGCTGATGTATCTGTAGCTAATCTTTAAAACTGTTGTATTTTTTGCCACAAATGGGAATAGAGAATATGATGAGAAAGAAATTAACTTTTAAAATTAAGTAGCACAGAACTGCTTAATTCCTCCAGGTAGCAGACAATATTGTAACTCATAATTTGTTTTTTCTGCCAGGCTTTATCCTGTGGATAAGAGCAGAGTGAATGAGTATGGAGAATCTTACGAAGAAAAGCCAAAAAAAAAAGCTCATAGAGAATAACTAAGAATTGAAGAAGATTCTGACCCCTGGACTCTTACTGGCTTCATGTATTATGTGGTCTTAAGGAAGGAAAAACTTATTTAATAAGAGTATTTTTAAAGCTTATGACAGAACTACATGGACAATACATCTTCTATATTGCCAAAATCTAGTTTTTATATCCTCCTATTTCAAGATCCCTTTTTGTCCTCAAAAGGTCCAGTCTGCCAGATGTCATTAAATAAACTTCCTGCATTTAAACTTCTCTTCGGTGAAAACCTAAGTGTCCTGACCATGGTAATTAATATCCAAATCCATGTTTTTAAGACAACTCACTAACTGGAAGTGTGGTGCCCATGCCACAAGGCTATGAAAAGTGAAAAAACAAGCCAGTGTGTTACAGCAGAATCGAGCATTATTGCCAAACTGGAGGCTGTCAAAAATAAAATGTATAATATTGGATTATATGCTAATTACAAATCATTCTTTTTTGATAATGGAGATAATGGAAATTCTAGAAATTATTATTGAAGTTGTAAGTTGTATGTGGGCATTTAAGTTCATAGCTTAAAAAAAAATTTGTTGGAAATACAGGATGAGAGAGATGAGGTTGTTAAAGTTCAAATTCTGCCATGTTCTTAGCCCACAACATGGCAGAGGGTTTCAGTTGTCTTAAATGGAACGAAGATGTGAAAAAGCTGTAACATGATTTCTTTCAATATCTATCCAAGTTTATATAAATCCTTCTGCATTATTGACAAACCTTCTGATTTCTTGGCATAGCAGGTATTCACATAATGCAAATCATTGCTACGTGCTAGGAAAGTCTCTTAACACATCTTAAATTCTTCATCCTATGGTATCCCAGTGACCTACTAGGCCAATTTGCTCATGTTTCAAAGGGAGTAATTCCTTGGTCTTTCCCCTCTCCCTCCCTGCTCCATTTTGTTTATAAGATGAAACACACATCATTCAAGTGGAATGATTTTGCCCAAATACAATACAGATTCAACAAACTACCTGGATACAGAGGAAAAAAAAAAACAGCCTGGTGAAGAACAGGTATCTTCCTTTCACACAATTTAAAATCCATATTCAATGGGAACAGTTCACTAAGCGAGGTATTTTGATCTGTTTCTTTCAAATTAGTAAAAATAATCAGGTTGAATTATTATACCAAAATTCAAACTTCACGGCTATATCTAGAAACCATTGTTCTAGATTTTTAAAAGCAAGTTTCTTTGTAACAGTAAGTAAAAGATAGAGTGCATTCCTTTCAGCAGCAAATAAAATGCAATTGGAAAAAAAAAAAAATCCAAAAGGCAGAATTCTAGTTTTGCTTTGGTCGGTAAGTTTACAAATTAACCCTAATGATTCTTAAGTTTCTTTATTAAATTGCATGCTGTTTGTGTAAGGCTATTTAACGTCAATTTGTCATTGATTGAAAATATTAATTTAATAACCTTGAAGAACACAGATCTACTCCTATAGTCTGTAACTACTTTATGAAGTGGATTTTATCCAGTTCTGATACTGCAGAAGTCTGAATGTATAAATACTTGGGTCCCAAAAAGATACAGAAATGTGCCTAACTTTTTTTGTCACAAACTCTAGTCTTTCTATACTGAAGTCCTCCTTACATGCTACTGGCAATGGAAAGGAGTCATCTTGTACTTGTTTTGGATTTGTTTGGAAGGAGCTCTTTGCTGTCAGGCAAACTAATTTGGGACTCCTGTTTCATAATAATAGTTAAATGTAAGTGTGTGAAAATTTCTCCTGATATAAATAATGCATATAGCAGATTCCCTTTTTGTGCCATTTCAAAACAATCAAGTTGTTGGTTCTTCTAGAATAGCTTCTGAATTCCAGAATACCATATTCTGGTATTTCTAATGTTTCTTCACTCATTTTTGTATGTAGCTGTTGAAAAATCATTCTTGCACCTTGACATACTGTGAGTTTATTGGTCTTCTGTCTTGCATTTCTGATGACAATGACCTCATAATAGCGTATACAGTAGTCATAAAGAATATAAAATTAGAACACTTTAATTCCTTAAAATGAGCGAGACTTTCCTGTTCAAGTGATTGTTTTATGCATTCCATTTCCAAATAAAAGACTTGGCATACGGGATAGAGAGTTACCTTTTGTTGTTGGAAAGATGGCGAAAAACTACGTATGTGCTGTAACTTTGCAGATATTAAATGTTTTAACGTTCTAGTTGTGGAAATGACATCAGCTTAAAACAAAAATGCGGTCCTATACGTGGTTAATGCAGAAGAAAAACTTCCTATATATGAAATTTCATTGAATGTGCTGCGGCTCATGATGGATTATCAGTATCTGTGATCTATGTAAGACTTCAAGAGTAACTTAAACAAGTTCCTCACTTCTAATGAGGTTAACTGTGGTAAGCAACTTGGTGACCATCTCACATTCTCATCTTCATTAGGCTTGTAATGGCTTTGGAAGTTAAGAGATTACAGTGATTTGGGGTTGGGATTGGGGGTGTTTTAGAGTTAATTGGGCAAATCATCATATGCTTCTGGAAGGTACTCTTGCACGGTACTTACTAGTGCGTAACAACATAGCAATCATGATTCTCTAAGGACGTAAGTGAAGAAAGGCAGCTGACAGCACTTTCCGTGGCTCAGTGCCTCTTGGCTGTGTTATGGAGACCGTGCTGTGCTCCCGTGCAGTTCCCGTTCCATACTGAGCTATTTCCTGCTCATCTTCACCTGCTCCTGACTGTGTTCTCCAAGAGGTGACCTTGTGCCCTTACGGCTTTTTTCCCTGGAGCCTTAGGGCTAACTGAATTACAAAATGGGCAGCAGCACAGACAGTTCTTCTCCTATCAGCAGAGCTCAAGAAGTCTGCTCTGCTTCTGTCGCTGCTAGAGCAGGTGCTGTATACGTTGCCGGTATGTTGACTCAGCACAAGTATATGTTCCCTTTTGATACAGCATTACACTCCGGTAATTGTCAGCGCCAGCATCTACACCTCAGCGCCAGAAGCATTAAGACATAATTCTGTAATATGTCTGCTTTTAAACATCACATTTTCCAGTTTTTTCATCAGAAGAGAAATCTCATGTTGAGGAAGTGAAACATGATCATTTACTAGTAATGCTGCTCCTCTTTACATTACAACTTACGGCTTTTCAATGTCATAAGATTTAAAATAATGCAAGTGGGAAGGGACCTCAGGAGGATATCCAGTACCAGCACAGCATTTTTTTTCCGCCCCTTACAGACTAATCAGGCTTTCCTGATAGTCCTGTGTAAAACCATCTGAGTGAATAGATCTAGCCCTAGGCGTTGAGAAATAAAGCCAGGAAGAGGCCAGCTTTCCCGGATGCCCAACAGCAGTCTCTGACTGCTTCCCCTCTTACGCTAGGAGAGGTTTGGCTCTGTATCTGTGAGGATCCATGCACTTTTCCAGTGGTTATAGACACATTGAAGAATTTCCTTTTAGTACAGAGGGGGAACTGTGACGGCTCCTATGTTTTCATCCATCTGCATGAAATACCACTGCTCCTTCTTAAGGATATCTGGAGCTAATCAGTTTGCTCCTGTTTTATCCATTATGCAATTCTCCTATTTCTTACTGCTCCTTTTAATAGCAGGTCCCCAAAAATCCTTTATTGTCTTTTTTTTATCCTAACCCCCACTCTGATGAGTATATCTGCATCAAAAGGAACAAAATACTTTAGATTCAAAAGACAAACACTAACACTGGGGCATTCTGGCTCACGTCTGCCTATGTTAGGTTTAAAGAATAGGATAGCTTCTCCCCTTCTCCTCCCAGCTTTCTGTTTGGCAGCACTCTGTCCTTTTAGTCCTTGCCATATGGTACCCATAAAACTTCTTGCAAGCTGTTTTGGATATAGCATGTACCAGCCTCTCAGTTTCTGGCCCCTAATGTTCTCCTTAGTCATCCACAGCTCCACAATACTAACTTAAGACAGAGCTCTTTGATGGTTGCCTTTCTGATGATCTGTCCTCCTCCTGTTCTTGCACTAATGGAATCTTGCACATCTGCAAAGACTCATGAGCTATCTTACTCTTATTTTGGCTTTGAAAAGTTCACTCTGAGCATTTTTGTTAGGCATTAGTTGCCTCTAGCAGTCTCTAGCCACAGGTTAGTCTGTGTCGAGCAGCCTAAAGCCAGGTAGATGTTTCATTGCTGTGGTTCATCTGCATGCTTTGGTCCGGCTAACCACCTGGCCACTGAAGCAAGAGCATAGACTTGAGCATAGACTTCAGAAGTGCAGCTACACTCTTCACTCCGTTCAGAACACCAGGCCTGGCACAACTCCAGCTTCAATGCCTGGCTCGTGGCCAGCCAGCAGTGGCTATCCAGCACGCTTTGCCTCCTTGCTGCCCTGCAACCTCCCATCTGCATCACTTGCAAGCTTCGGCTCAAAGAGTTGTCATAGATACCTAGTTTGGACTGACTTCCACAGGATCTACTGGAGTATCGCCTCTACTTTTCCAACTGGACTTAGCAATTTACATTTCCTATACTGAAATTCTCAGCTCTTGCTACATCTGCTGTCTAATCTCCATCAGAAGCAGGCCCTTCATTTGCCTAGTGCTGACCATAAGAACAGAAAGGAATAAGCAGCATTTCATTTGGTAAAACCAACAAACCCTTCATCTACTTGTTGAGAAAGAACTGGTTAGCCTCACCCTCTCTGCCATCCCAGAAGTTGTTACAAAGATACATAGGAGAAAAAAAACTTGAACCAGGAATGTGTGTTGTTTCAAGCAGACTCTGATTTCTTAAACTTGGGCATCTCAGAAGATTAGTGTCAGAGGACCATGCAATCTTAAAAAATCCCAGTCACAGACCTTGACTCCATTATCCCTGGAACACAGTAAGCATTTCTCTGCTAGTCTGATCCTCTTCAGTTATGCCAAATGTGCAAGGATCAGCAGTACGTTATGGATCTATTTGCTCATTATCAAAATCCTCCACTGAACAGCAGTTCAAAAAGCAGACTTGAAGATACAAGGCTCTGCGAGCATCCATGTCCTTCACTACTGCTTTCTTCAACCTGTCACTTCACAGAATTAGAATTTCAAGAAGTAGCTATTGCTTAAAAAAAGGGAACAGAAACACATTCATCCCTTTTGGGAAAGGGAGAGGGGAAAAGAAGAAAGAGTTCTTTGGTTATGCTGTGTTTTTAAATGATTGGTTATAAATACCTCTAGCTGGACTGCCAAACAAGTCCCTTAGACTTTCTGGGTTTCTATCTCAGGAATTCAGAAACGATTGGGGTCTTCCCCAGCTACAGCTATTCTCAGTCTGCAACAATCTTTTTTAAAAAGCTGCTCTTTTCTGCTGACCTCTGCATTTCTAAAGAAAGCACAGTCTTTGACTGAAAGTCTCCCAGTGACAAAGGCTAGTTTAGTTCATATACAAAACAAGTATTTCATTCTGCTGAAGATTTGACCAAC